AGCAGCTGGGGTGCTGCCGGGTTGGTCCAGTAGCGCCGAGGTGCGGCGCTGCAGGGACCTACCTGGCAGCGCCCCAGTTGCTCTGTCCCAGGCGTCCAGATTCAGCTGCTGTTAAAACTGATCAGCGGCTGATTCCAGGAAGCCCGGGGCAGAGAAACTCTGCCTCAGGCTTCCTGTAGTCAGCTGCTGGTCAGTTTCAGCAGCGGCTGAATCTGGACGCCTGTTCCGACTTATGAACAAATTCAAATTAAGAACAAACCTACAGTCCCTATCTTGTACGTAACCCGGGGACTGTCTGTATTAGGTTCTTTGTCTCAGGATCAGACCTCTTAACCTAAAGGTGGTAATTAGAAATTCAAACTTAATCTTAGATTAGACAACATATTGGAGGCAGCAAGAGGGTGGAGGGGGAGCAGGTGACTCCATTTGAGCTGATACATGCAGGGAGGTGGCTTCCCTTGCATACAAGCTTCCACCTGCCCCCCTCTATCAGAGGCTTACTGGTTAATCATTTACATGACTATATGCTAACATCCCTATCCTGCATCCCAGTCTGCTGCCCCAGGTCACAATCTCCTCTTTCACGCCAACTCCTTCCCAGATACCACACCAAATCCCTTACTCCAAGCTCCCTTCTGCACCCAACCTCCATCCCAGACCCCACACCTGCTCCCTTAATCTGGAAGAGTGCAGCTCTTAAACACTTACCAAATTCTTAGTGTGGCCTTTCCATCAACAATTATTGCCCAGTAAATGGAAAGGGGTGTGTGTCCTGCAGAGGATTGGGGATGGGGGAGGGGGAGAAATGGGGGAATTGGACTTCCAGAAGTTTGGATTGTGGGGCTCTGGCCATACCCATTTGGATTGAAGCAGGGACAGCCTGGGACTCACTCAGAGCCATGGGTAGGAGGGGCGTCATGTTATTGGATTTTAAGAGGAAGATGCAGATCATTGGGGAACCCACTGTGGTAGGTTTGCCCCAAATTCTGTGCAAAGTGGACTATGTGAGCTGTCAAATGAAAGCTTGCGCTATGCGGATTATTTGTGCTGCTCATAGAAATGTATTATTTTTGTATGTAAAGTTATGAATATGGGCTCTGTATTCGTATTTAAAATGTTTTTGTCTGGGAGACAACAGCAACTATTGACCACCTCCTGTAAGGGACAGTTACGCAGTGAATAGCTATGCTGTGTGACTGCCTATTGCAGGGGTCAGCAACCTTCTCAACCCAAAGCAACCATAGTTATCTTTACCCCTAAACCTCACCCTCACTGTAACTATGATCCTTCAGCTGCACCTTAACTCCCTAACCCTAATCCTAAAATCCGAATAATAATCCTGACTCTCACTCTGACCATAGCCCCAATCTTCATGTCTAACCCTAACTGTGATTATGGTAAAGCACTGGAATGGCAGAGTCTCCATTTGTAGAGATTTCTAAGGCCTGGCTTGACAAAGCCTTGACTGGGATTGCTTAGGTGGGTGGTTTTCTGCTTCTAGCAGGGTGTTGCACTAGGTGACTTACTGAAGTCTTTTCCATCTCTAATTTTCTAGAATCTGTGCTGGATGTGGGGAAAGAGCCAGAGTCGACACTCTGAAAAAAGAGGTTACATCAGAAAACAGGGACAAGAACAACATGTGGTCTAGGAAAGCACTGAAAAAAGTCAATCTATTTAGTTTAGCCAAAAATAGGGATGACTTGATCAAGGACTGTAAATTTCTAAATACATGAAAGCTTTGTAAACAACTAGACAAAGGCACAACAAGACCATGTTGCTGGAAAATGAAGCTACAGCAAAACAGACTAGGATTACGATATTCCTCTCATAACTAAAAAACCCCCCCAGTAACTATTGGAACAATTTACCGAGGGACATGGAGATTCTGCATCATTTGGAGCCTCTAAATCAGACTAGATGCATTTCTACACTATCAACACTAGCTCACCCAGAAGTTTTGAACATAAAGCAGGGATGACTTGGTGAAATTCTCTAGCGTGTGTAATGCAGAATGTCAAACTACTTATCAGAAACAGTCCTTTTAAAACAATCTATTTAGTTATTTCTTCCCAGAACATAGGGTCAACTTCTTCACAGAGGATGTTGTGAAGGCCAAGACTATAACAGGACTCAAAAAGGAATGAGTTGAGCTCACAAAGGGTAGGTCCATCAATGGCTATTAGCCACAATGGGTGGGGATGCAAAACCAAGCTCTGAAGTCTCTGCCTGAAGCTGGAAATGGGCGATGGGGAAGGATGACTTGATTATCGTTACTGTCCATTCTCTCTGAAGCACATGCCATTGGCCACTTTCAGAAGGCAGGATACAGAGCTAGACGGGCCATCGATCTGACACAGTATGGCCATGCTTATATTGATAGGGAGCATGGTACTGTGCCAGCAGTCTGTGCACATAAGCAAAAATCAGTAATAATAAAGCCCCACAGTGTTTGTATCTACGAGTCCCCTTCATCTGCCTCCCACCAACACCCAATGATGCTTTTTGACAATTTTTAATAAATCACAATAAAATAAAGTTTAATTAAAAACAGAAAAAACCAAAACCATCAGGTGACATTAATTTACACTTGCCCCCTTCAGCCACAGAAGGCATCTATGGGAAGCTAAGAAAGAAGTTCTCACAGAGTGCAAGACAAGCTGGCAAAGCTCCACTGGCTGTGGACTCTTTACCAGGCTGCAAGGGAGACAGACACGGCCAGAGAGACTGTTGGGGAAGCCAGAGAACCATGGAAGTTTGGGAGAATCTCACCGAACCTACTCAGGGAGGTTGGACTGGGGCAGACTGCGGATGGACGCACACAGGAGGGAGAGTTGTGTCCACAGTCCCATAAGTGCAGCTCATCCGCTGCCAGCAGAGGCTCATGGCAGTGATATGGGGGAGGGATGTCACAATCTTGCTAGAAACAAAGTCCAAAGTGCTTGTGACATTTCTAAGAGGGGAGATGCCTCCAGGCTCAGTGCTTTACAGCATCAATACTTCAGCAAAAAGCAGCTCCTCCTGACATCTCTGCTTAGAGGAAGGAGCCATTCTGGGAGGAGGTGTCAACTCAGAGGAAGAGCATCCTTACTGTTTGCAATGTCCTAGTCTCTTCTGTTCTGACATGCAAAGCTGTGACAGTTCACAGCACCATTATGTGATTAGCTTGGATCATTCCCATCTACCATAACACACTTGGCAAAGCTGCGCTGGGCCTTCTCCAGCCCAGACACACAAGGATCCACAATTGCAGACTGAAGGCATCGGCAGCCAGCGAAGATACAGCTGCAGAATTTGGCATTATAGGCATTCAACCACCATTCCTTCTGATAGATGTTAACAGGCTTCTGCCTCTGGAGGACAACCCATTTGCAGAGGGGCACATGACCTCAGGGAGACACTGCAACTGATCGGAGTCACATCACATTCATGAAGATGGTGCTTGTTTACGGAAAGCACCACCAAGGCAGTTACTGGTCAGCATTGGCCAAGAGGTCACCAGGAGCATTTACTGTCTCTTGTGTACCAGTCTCTGAAGTCAGAGAAAACTCCACATAAAGCTTCACTTAGTGCTGTTTGTTGCCTGCTCTTGAAGAAGCAAATAGTGGGTCTCCTGCCCCCTTCACCTGCCCAGCTGAGCAGCAGGCAGGGGTGAAGGAATATTGTTCCAGGTAGCTCAGGTTACAGTTACAATCCAGACTAATTTTAGCAATACAATCATCACTTTCAAAGATCGCTGGACATCCCACGGACCCAGCCCTGGTGCACCACATGGTTACTAAACACAGACACACCAATGGCCTGTTCCAAATAGCTTCACAGAGGTTAAGGGGAGCTGGGACACGAGGACTTAAAGCCACTCAGCAGGGAATTTCTTTGGCCAGAGCCTGGAGGCTGCATGGGGGTTTCATAGGAAGAAAGCTGAGCAAGTCTCACTCTCATACCAACTGTGTCCACTGACCACAACGGAGCATCACATCAACACCAGGCCTTGACAACCTCTCTAGTCAGGTGGATTCTATAGTGAGAACTCTGGCAATGACATGAAGAAAGAGCACATGACTTGCGATGGCTGTGCCCGTGTCACATTTTGGGGCAGTCACTGCCAGGCATATCAGCGATGGCTATGCCCCTCCTCTCGCTGACAGGCAGACACAACCAGGGCTGTCAGTGATGGTTGTGTCCCTTTAGGGGCAGGCACCGCCATGGGTGTTGGTGATGGACATGCTCCCTTTGGAGGCTGCTAAATCGAGGTTTCATCGCACTTAGCCAGTGGAACACCTGTCAGGTAGATCCGGGCTTGGTCTTTGTCCAGCTCATTGATGTAGAGGTGGGAGAAGCCATTGAGGCTGCCATTCTTCTTAGTTGTAGCCAGTGGGTGGCGCTCATCTTCTGGGGAGCTTGGCGTGTGTGGCTCATGGCTGCAGCTAGTTGTATTGGACTGCATCAGATCCAGGCCATTTCTCTCCCGACTGAGCAGCTCCCTCTGGAGTCGCTCCCGTTGCCACCTCTTGTAGATGTAGATGGAGACAGAACCAGCAGCAAAGCCTAGCAAAAACAAGAGGAGTCCCACCAAGACGCCACTGAAGTTCTGCTCAGTTGTATTCCAGGCACTAGCAGAGCCCCTGCCTCTCACTAGGCTGTAGGAGGCAACCACGCCCCCTGCTCCACCTTCCATGCACTGGCAGGTGTATTCACCAAGGGTATCCTCTGTCACTGTGAACTCCAACCCATCACTACGCAAGGAGTACACATTGGCATCTTGCGGCGGTCTCTGCCACATGCAGGTTGCCCAGGCTGATGGTGGAGTGCAGGGAAGCACAATGCGGGCAGCCAGGGACACTGGCAACTCAACTGTAACAGGCATATCTGCAAGTAGGAGAGACACGCAATTAGGGTCAGGCACTGAACTCGAGACAGGGTTCCTGTCATATGTGCCCCTGATTCTCCAGGGGTACGGGCACAAGAGAGGAGCTTCCCCAGCAAAGCCTTGTGGAAATAACAAGTGGGCAGCCATGCTCCATGCAGCCAAAAGAAGAGTGTATGAAGCGCCTGACAAAGGGACAATGGAGAGGTGAACCCATTACCTGGGTTTAATCAGAGGACATGCAACTGTAAGGGGATGTGTGGAGGGGAGCCTGGTCTTCCACAGGCCATGTGCTATTGTACTGAAAGAAGGACCTTCCCAAACCCAAGTCTCTATGCTCCCACTTTAGTCCAGGGCCACTTTGGTTTCCATGTGCCAATATCTGCTGCATGCCACATAACCTGCACTCCAGTGGCTCCAGGCTGGGGGGGAAGTGCATGACCCCGAAGCAGTGAAGAGGTAGTCAGTCAGGGCTCAGTACAGGCTGGCACCCTAATATGGTCCTCCTTCCTAGATGCCACTAATCCTGTCTCCTTCACAGGACAGCATCTTGTGCACAACCTCTCCCTCCAGTTAGTCTGAGCACAGCCAGGCATGGCTAAGAGATGTGCTTTCCCCTTCAGATAGGGGAACACTGATCTCCAACCCACATCCACATTGCTCAGGAACCCCTCAGAGCCACTATCCATCCAGTCTCCAATGTCCTTCTCAATGCTGGATCTTTGTACTCCCTCCAACCCCAGCACATCTCAGGTCACGTACCTTCTCCTTCTTCTGGACACACAGTTAAGATGCTTAGAGATGTGAGGTTCTGGAGTAACCTGAGATAAGGCAAAAGAGCAGAGACTGTGATGAAGTTCAGTGCCTACTGCAGCCTTTTTAAGAAACATCCTATCCAGTCCAGGTTCCCATATATGAGGAAGGTGAGTCTGGTGCTATGGAAGGTGAGGAAGGGGGAAGCACTGTGGGGAGGATACTAGACCAGGGGAATAAGCCTTCTTTTTTGAATAGCAAACAATTACACAGAGGGTCTTAGGGAAGGGCCCAAATGTACGGACGGTGGGTGAAGGTAGGACTGGGGGTGGCAAGTCCCTCCGCCCCTCCTCAACCCCACGCCCTATGGCCGGCCCTGCCCACGGGGAGGGCAAGTGGCACACAGCCCCAGAGCACAGGGGGTGGGAGCATGGAGAGTATACCTACAGCAGGTGTTCTGCAGGGCGGAGTGTGGGTGGGACCATGCCTGGACGCAAAGCTGGTCTTAGGGGCGGTCGCCCGGGGCTGCCATTAGAGCCCAACAGAAGCCTGCTCGGGACATGCGGAAATTAAAGGGGCCGCAACCCTCATTTTGGCTTGACAAATTTTCCCTGGCGGTTGCCCAATTGGTTAGGACTGGCCCTGCCTGGAAGTTTGGGAAGGCAACAAGGGCAGAGTTTCAGGAGGGCGGGGGAGGAAGAGGGGAGAGCAGCAGCCATGTGCTCTGGGATGCGGCTTGCTTTTCTTCCTGGTCCCTGGACTATCAGGGAGCGAGGGGAAAGTACTTGCATTCCATGATTTACTCCTCTGCCCCTCCCTTAACCAGCCAGGTGTGAGAGTCAAGCACAGAATGCAAGTACTTTCTGCTCAGTCCCTGATAGTCTGGGGAATGGGAAGAAAAGGAAGCCACATCCCGGTGTGCATGGCTGTTTCAGCTCCATGCCTGGAAGGCAATGCCTTCTCCTGCCCAAGATACCTGCTGCCCCTGCCCAAATGACAGAAAATTCAGGGACAAACTAAAACCTCTAGTGGCTGCAATGGAGAGAGGTTATCTGGCTACTTGAGGGTAAGAGCTTAACCCTGCTGAGAACTGCCCCTCCCTGGACTTTGGTCAGTTACTACAAGAACGGAGAAATGCTGTTTTCTAGAAATGCCTGCCCCCTTCTACCTCCTAGCCACCAGAAACTGCCCTGCTCTCTGGTTTGTGTTCCACACACACAATTGTACCAGCACCTGTTTGAAAAGAAGGCAAGCTGGCCAGGAGTGCGTGTCTGTTGGGAAAGGGGGAGTGAGAGAAAAGTTGCTGGGTAAGAAAGGAGTGGGGATGTTGGATGGAGGCAAAGGCGTGGGAGCAGTCTAACGTCAGTACCGGGCAAATTAGTCGAAACAATAGTAAAGAATAAAATTGTTAGACATGTAGAAGAACATCATTTGTTGGGCAACAGTCAACATGGTTTCTGTAAAGGGAAATCCTGTTTTACTAATCTGTTAGAGTTCTTTGAAGGGGTCAACAAACATGTGGACAAGGGGATCCAATAGATATAGTGTACTTAGATTTCCAGAAAGCCTTTGACAAGGTCCCTCACCAAAGGCTCTTGTGTAAATTACATGGCCATGGGATAAGAGGGAAGATCCGTTCATGGATTGAGAACTGGTTAAAAGACAGGAAGCAAAGGGTAGGAATAAATGGTAAATTTTCAGAATGGAGAGGGGTACCTAGTGGGGTTCCCCAAGGGTCAGTCCTAGGACCAATCCTATTCAACTTATTCATAAACGATATAGAGAAAGGGGAAAGCAGTGAGGTGGCAAAGTTAAGACCAAAGCAGACTGTGAAGAACTTCAAAAAGATCTCACCAAACTGAGGGTATGTCTACACTACCACCCTAGTTCGAACTTAGGTGGTAATGTAGTCAACCGGAGTTGCAAATGAAGCCCGGGATTTGAATTTCCCGGGCTTCATTTGCATGTTGCCGGGTGCCGCCATTTTTAAATGTCCGCTAGTTCGGACTCCGTGCCCCACGGCTACACGTGGCACGAACTAGGTAGTTCGGACTAGGCTTCCTATTCCGAACTACTGTTACTCCTCGTTCTACCCAGTATGGCCATTCTTATGTTTTTATCTGGAAGGGCAATAAAACCTGGCCGAGTGCCTTTACTCCCAAGTCTGTGGTGGTTCTTATGCAGAACACCGATGCTGTGTCTACACTGCACACTTCTTGTGCAAAAACTGCCGTTCTTGCGCAAAAACTTGCCAGCTGTCCACACTGCACGTGCATTCTTGTGCAAGTAAATTTACAGTATAGCATCGGAAAACAGGGCTTCTTCCGGAAGAGTTATTCCTCTCCCCACAAGAAATAAACGCTCTTGTGCAAGAGCTCTTCCACAAGAGGGCAGTGTAGACAGGCAACATGAATTTCTTGCGCAAGAAGCCCCTACGGTTAAATGGCCATCAGAGCTTTCTTGCACAAGAGAGCGTCCACACTGCCATGGATGCTCTTGCACAAAAGCATAACTCTTGTGCATAAGCACATGGCAATGTGGACGCGCTCTTGTGGAAGATTTTTTTGCACAAGAACTCTTCTGCAAAACAATTCTTGTGCAAAAAGCCTGCAGTGTAGACATAGCCTGAGGGCTGGTGAATGAAGATGCTGCATTGCTGGCATGCCAAGAGCAGCAACAGTAGCATGGGCCTGCCGATAGGTGGGGGAGAGGCAACAGGGACAACTGCACAGGAGCCTGGTGTTTCAAAGAGCCCCCGGACTCCTTGAATTGCTACGGGAGCACTGCTCTGGTGCTCTGCTGCTGGGAGGGTGCTAAGGACTGACTGCCCTCAGCCCCACCCCTTCTGCACAAAGCTCTGCCCATTCTGGGCTACAGAACCCACCCCCAAGCCTGCAGTGGCTGTTGGCCCTGCTGAGTAGCATGTCCATCTAGGTACTTATATCGCCCACCTCACAGTCCACGAGGTTCTTGTGAGCTGCATTTTGCAGTGAGAAAAATGGAGGCATGAGGAGGGGAAGGATGTCTTAGTCAGAACCAGATTTAATCTCAGGCTTATACATGCTCTGAATAGCTAAGAAAGAGCTTTGGAGGGAAATCTCCATGTGATCCTCCCCTGTCATTCACTTCCAGAGAAACAGAGGCTAGGGATACCATTCCTTCCCATTCTGGCTAATAGACATTGATGGACTTAACCTATATGAATCTATCTAGCTCTTTTTTGAACCCTGTTAATGTTTTAGTCTTCACCGCATCCTCTGGCAAGGAGTTCCACAGGTTGACCGTGCTCTGAGTAAAGAAAAACTTCCTTTTGTTTGTTTTAAACCTTCTGCCTATCAGAGCTGGCCCGAGCTACGGGCTGACTGGGCTACTGCCCAGGGTGCCCCATGGTAGGGCGGACTGGACGGGTAAGGGGCCGCGCATGCTCCAGGGGCCCGGGGCGCGCGAATGGCTGGGGCCAGCCCTGCTGCCTATTCATTTTATTTGGTGACCCTAGTTCTTATATTGTGGGAATAAGTAAATAACTTTTCCTTATTCACTTTTTTCACACCAGTCATGATTTTATAGACTTCTATCATATCTCCCCCAGTTTCCTCTTTTCTAAATTGAAAAGTACAAGTCTTTTTAATCTCTCTTCATATGGGACCCGTTCCAAACCCCTAATAATTTTTGTTGTCCTTTTCTGAACCTTTTCCAATGCTAATATATCTTTTATGAGATGAGGCGACCACATCTGTACACAGTATTCAAGATGTGGGCGTCCCATGGTTTTATATAGAGGCAATAAGAGATTTTCTGTCTTATTCTCTATCCCTTTTTAATGACTCCTAACATTCTATTTGCTTTTTGACTGCTGCTGCACACCGAGTGGATGTTTTCAGAGAACTATCCACAATGACTCCAAGATCTCTCTCGAGTACTTGTAGCCAAATTAGTCCCCATCATATTGTATATATAGATGGGATTATGTTTCCTAATGTGCATTACTTTACATTTATTAACATTAAATTTCATTTGCCATTTTGTTGCCCAATCACTCGTATCCCATGACAACTTACTTTACTTAAGAGCCTTTGGTGAGAGACCTTGTCAAAGGCTTTCTGGAAATCTAAGTATACCACATCCACCGGATCCCCCTTGTCCACATGTTTGTTGACCCCCTCAAAGAACTCTAGCAGATTAGTAAGGCATGATTTCCCTTTACAAACCCTTTTGACTTTCCCCCACCAAATTATATTCATCCATGTGTCTGACAATTTTATTCTTTACTATAGTTTCAATTAATTTGCTCAGTACTGATGTTAGACTTACCAGCCTGTAATTGCCAGGTTCACCTCTAGAGCCCTTTTTAAATATTGGTGTCACATTAGCTATCTTTGAATCATTAGGTACAGAAGCTAATTTAAAGGACAGGTTACAAACCACAGTTAATTGTCATACAATCTCCCATTTGAGTTCTTTCAGAACTCTTGGGTGAATGCCATCTGCTCCAGGTGACTTGTTACTGTTTAGTTTATCAATTTGTTCCAAAAACCTCTTCTAACTCCTTCTAACTGACTCCTCAATCTGGGACAATTCCTCAGATTTATCACCTAGAAAGAATGGCTCAGGCTGGGAATCTCCCCAATATCCTCAGCTGTGAAGACTGAAGCAAAGAATTCATTTAGCTTCTCCACTATGACTTTATCATCTTTGAGGGCTCCTTTAGTGCTGGGATTTGGGAGGAGGGTAAGTGTGAGATAGACAATGAGAGGAGCAAGAAAGGGAGGCACAATTATCTCATAGGGACGGGTGTGGAAGAGGATTTACTCCCATCTCACTGTGCTGTCCAATGGTGTGTCTGTATTCCCTGCCAGCCATACATTTCCCTGATATGTCTATTTAGCCTGTGATTGTGTCATGACAGGGACTGGGCGGATACAGCGAGAAGTGGTTCCAACAGTAGCTTGAGCCTCGAGGATAACACGAAGGATAAAGGTAGAAATCAAGCTGAGACCCATAGAAGAGTCTGCAGCAAGGCATGAGCAGTGAACTCCACTTGGTTCCACAGGCCCAGGGGTCATTTGTG